TGTCAACTAATGCTTTTATAAAATTTCTATTAATAAGGTTTCATCAAATTGCAGTTACGTTTTATTTCTGTCATTATCCTTTAATTTCGATGACTAGTGTCTTTGTTTCTCTTCCAACGTATGTTTTCCTGTTTTTGCTGTAAAAAAATTATAAAATAACACAAACTGGCATTTGAGAAGTGCATTTTGAGAAGTGGATAGAATATTACACTATATTTATAGAATTAAAGCACTTAAGTTTTTTTGGTGCTTTCTACGTAAAGTGTCTATTTTGGTCTGTTACTAAATATGGAAGATTAGTCGTAAGAATTGCAAAACTTAAAACACCAACAATTTGCAATAACAGTAATGTATCATATAATACCTATAACATTCAACATACGCAATGACAAATTTGTAAAATTCTCAGAAGCTTTTAAAAAGAAATCAGAGTGCTGTGTACATGGGATGAACAACCATAATGTATACGGCTAACCTTCGGAATATGGTAACATGTAGTCTGGCCATAATTTTTAAACATGCAAAAACTTTTAATATGTTGCTGTTTGTTCATTATAAGATCTATTAAACATGGCTAGTTCTTAACAGCAGAACGGAATGTATAAAGTGCCATGATTAATAAGCGATGCCGAAGTGATCTTGACATCCACAAAAAAGCAACTTAAAAGTATATTTATGCTTTGAAAAAACCCACAAAGGAATTATTTCATGACATGAGATTTTTACAAAAATAAATAATTCAAAAAATGTTGATTAGAGTTGACTTTAAGGTACCCCTTGTATTATCGTGAAGTTGTTTCGTTTATCACCAAGTTGTTGTATCATTTATGGTCACCTGAGTAGTAAATGTTATGGAAACCCTATTATGATGTAATCGTTTGCATTATTCTGGGAAATTTTGAATCATGGGATGTTTTACAAAGGCTTTTGTGGTGTGTGTTGCTGAGGAAGTACATTGCTTTGTTTCATTGTTTAGACAGTATAATGGCTGAATGTAGTAGAATTAATTTGAAGTTTCTGTACGATTTGGAACAAAAGGGGAAAGTGCATTAATTGAGTGAATTGTGTAAATGAAAGTTTACTTAGTAGCCATAATATGCAACTACGTAGTATATTTTTTACTCTTATTTTTGTGATGATGCCGATATACGGATTGCAGTTCAGATAATTTTAGTTTTTGGATGCTTATAAAGATTTTTGTGTCCCACAGACTGAAGACGAACGAATTTCTAAATAAGGTAAGAGGATTTTGCTTTGTGTAATGCTAAAATACTTAACAGGTTTTTCCTTTTTTGTGTCATTTTATTGTTTGGTTTAAAATGTAGTTTATTGAGATTATGTATTTTTTATTTGCCTCTACTGTAGAATTGGGTGCTCCTTTGACTTTTTAAGTGAAAAATATATCGATGTGTACACGGACAAACTCAAGGGAGTGCATAAAGCATAGTTTGTACAATTCGGGGATTTTTTTTTAAGTGAAAATAGGTCGTGTGTACATGGATACCGAGTTTGTGCAATTTTTTTACTTGTTATTTTGGCTTGCGTAGTGTCGATTTTTGCGCCAAAAATCACTGCTACGCAGGCCAAAATAACAAGTCAATGCATTGCACAAACTTGGGGTAAAAGTATAGTTTAGGATACCCCTTGGAGATTTTTGCCGGTACATGGATACTGATTTTGTTCAATTCTTTGACTTGTTATTTTGGCTTGTGAAGCGCCAAATTTTGTGCCTAAATGGCTGTAGTGTAGAATTGGGTGCCCTTTCAATTAGCGATAATTTTTTGTAAAATTTTGGAGATGAAATCTCATTTCGGCTAATCTTTGGAATATGGTAACAGGTAGTTTGGCGACATTTTGGTAGGTGATAAAGCTTACTACCTAGGACTTTGGGAATAATGTGAGAAGTACTCAGTTCCGATTACGCATTATTTTGTGTGAGGGAAATGAGAGATCATGAGATATGTCATGTGACATTAATGGACGAATTAGTTCTTTAATTGGAAAAAGGGGGGAATCTGGAAATTTTGATTTAGCTTTATTCTGTGTTGTGTGAAACAGTGTTGGTTAACCCTTTAAGCGTGTAGCGTTTGCTCCTGCGCGTGCACTGCAGTGGGGACGATGACGAGGTGAGTTCGTCAAGCATGCTTAAAGGGTTAATTTTGGGATCCCATGGCCCTATCTAAAGTGAATTCGAAATGGGTATTTAGTGGGATTCAAAGGGGTAGTAATAAGCATTCTTTTAAGGTTGTGCGAGATAGAAGTAAAGATTGCTTATTAAGTTTTATTAAGTTATTTATTCTACCTGGTACAATAATAGTATCTGATTGCTGGAAGTCATATGTTTGTTTGGAGGATGAAGGTTTTTGAACATTTTGCTGTGAACTATAAGTATGATTTTAAAGATCCTAAAACAGGCGCACATACGATTGCTTTTTATTTAGCGGAGGAAATAAGAAAAGTTTATCCGCCACATAATCAAGATTCTGAAGAAGATTAGGTAAGTTAGTATTTTTAATTATTTGAGGATATTATTTTTATGCATTGTTCTAAATGTAAGGAGTAAATAAATTAATATGGTGTTATTGGAAAATTGTTATTAGCAATGATTTAGTTTTTAAAGTAATTAGGATTGTAAGCTAATTTTTATTAATTTAATATATGTGCTTATTTATATCTTAAGTAGTGTTTTTTAATTTAATTATATTTTAATTAAATGATAGTTATTTTGTGAATTATATGTTTGTAGCAATTTGGTATATGTTTCAGTGGACGTAACCGTGCATGGAAATAATTTAAATATTTGACACTAAGTATTTGCACCATTTTTAATGTTTGCGTTATAAATTCGTTGGTGACGTTTATAATAGATAATTTAGAGGTAAAAGTTTTTGGATATTTTATTTATTTTATACGTGCAAATGTTCATCCTTGGAAAGGGTATATACTTTTTCACGATCAGGTAATTTCATGCTCTTTTTACCGAATTTAGAGATTCACAAAATTTTCATGCATTTCGTGAAATTTTTCTAATTTATGAGAAAAAAGCAGTGTACATGGATATAGTGAAGAGTGTGCGCAATGCCATTTTTGTGCAATTCTAGGATGTTATTTTAAGTAAAAATAAGTTGACATGTACATGGTTTAATTATATTTTAATTAAATGATAGTTATTTTGTGAATTATATGTTTGTAGCAATTTGGTATACGTTTCAGTGGAAGTAAACGTGCATGGAAATAATTTAAATATTTGCAACCATTTTTAATGTTTGCGTTATAAATTCGTTGGTGACGTTTATAATAGATAAATTAGAGGTAAAAGTTTTTGGATATTTTATTTATTTTATACGTGCAAATGTTCATCCTTGGAAAGTGTATATACTTTTTCGCAATCAGGTAATTTCATATATGTCCTTTTTACCGAATTTAAAGATTCACAAAATTTTCATGCATTTTCGTGAAGTTTTTCTAATTTATGAGAAAAAAGCAGTGTACATGGATATAGTGAAGAGTGTGCACAATGCCATTTTTGTGTAATTCTGGGATGTTTTTTTAAGTAAAAATAAGTCGACGTGTACATGGTTTAATTATATTTTAATTAAATGATTGTTATTTTGTGAATTATATGTTTGTAGCAATTTGGTATATGTTTCAGTGGAAGTAAAAGTACATGGATATAATTTAAATATTTGACACTAATTATTTGTAACAATTTTTAATGTTCGCATTATAAATTCGTTGGTGACGTTTATAATAGATAATTTAGGCAAAAGTTTTTGGATATTTTATTTATATTATACGTGGAAATGTTCACCCTTGGAAAGGGTATATACTTTTTCGCGATCAGGTAATTTTATACATGTGCTTTTTACCGAGTTTAAAGATTCACAAAATTTTCAGGCATTTTCGTGCAAATTTTTGTATATTATGAGAAAATAATCAGTGTATATGGATAAGTTAAGAGTGTGCGCAATGCCATTTTTGTGCAATTTTTTTTAAGTAAAAATAAGTTGACGTGTACATGGTTACTGTGTATGTGTGATTCTGAAAAACGCGGCAAGGAGTTTGCGATTCAGCACTTTTTCCCAATTTTGCAGTTAATATTTGTCATGATTAAGCAGTTTTTTTCCATAAACTTTCTAGCATAAGTGTAATTCGGCTAGCAGATTGTTGGAAAAACTGTTGAATAAATAAAAAGAAACATGTCTTTACTTCGTGAAGACAAAATGGCGGCGAAAAAAAAATAGAGGGTTGCTGTAGCAGAGTTTGTCGCCAAAAAATCGCCAAGTTACCATAACCCAACGATTAACCCTCATTTCTGGTTTCCACGATAGTTTAACTTTGCTTTAGCCTCCTGATTTTTTAAAAATAAAAATAGATTGATGTGTACATGGTCAAATTTAAAGCAGTGCGCAATGCCTAGTTTGTGCAATTCTGGGACTTATTTTAAGTGAAAACAGATCGATGTGTACATGGACGCAGAGTTTATGCAATTCTTTGACTTCTTATTTTGGTTTTGTCTAGCGGTCATTTTGAAATTGTGTCTTCTTGGGGCCGATCTTGTCGTCAGAAAAGAATCGCCAAAAAACAAGGGGCACCCAATTGTAAACTTTTACCGCCAAAATAACAAGACAAACAATTACACAAACTCGGTATCCATGTACACATCGACTTATTTTCACTTAAAAAAAATCCCTGAATTGCACAAAAATGGCATTGCGCACTCCTTTGACTTTATCCAAGTACACGTCGACCTATTTTCATTTTAAAAAAAATCCCAGAATTGCACAAACTTGCATTGCACACTCCCTTTACTTTGTCCATGTATACATCGATATATTTTCACTTAAAAGTCAAAGGAGCGCCAATTTGTACAATATAGGGAAACAAAAAGTAGGCACATAATCTCAGTAAAATACATTTTAAACCAAACAATAAAATTACATAAAAAAGGAAAAACATGTTATACATTTAAGCACTACTAAAAGCAAATATTCACTTACCATGATTTTTGAGTTCTCTTCGCACACTCAGAGCCATGTAAAAATCAAAATATCAGTCGTACTCAAATGACTTTTTTCAAACCACATACTCTTTCTGATCGAACGCTTCACATAGTGACCATGTGAACTTTTCTTCGTACAAACCCGTTCAAATCCATCTAAACGGTTTTTACGTTCAACTAGATGCATATCCTTCCTACATACAGGATACTTATAATGACTACTAAGTAAACCTTCATTTCCACACCAGTCCATTAAAGCTCTTTTCCCCTTTCGCTCCAAATCGTACAGAAACTTCAAATTAATCTTTTTACATTCGGCCATTCTACAGTGTAAAGAATCAAACTAACACACACCACAAAACCATGATTCAAAATTTCCCAGAATCATGCATCCGATTACGTCACAGTAGGGTTTCCATAACATTCAACTACTCAGGCTGCCATAAATGAAACAACTTGGCGATAAATCAAACAACTTCGCCATAAAACAAGTAGTACCTTAAAGTTTACTCTACCCCAAACTTGGTATCCATGTACCACCAAGGGGTACCCTAAAATATACTTTTACCAAAATCTTAACCAAACTACATATCAATATTCAATTACCTCTTCTTGCACATTACTAGGTAACTCGGTCACATTTGACTGAGTTCTTTGACGTTTTCTTATCCTCCCCATGCTTTCCAAGCACTTTGTCTGGCTATTAATTTAAATTTATATGAAATACGATCATAAATAATATAATATCAGTACTTTTTACTCTTAGAGACACGTTCACACAAATTACAAAATAAACAAGAAAAAACACATGTTTTTCTTGCGTTTTGGGGGATATATTTTTCTTTCAATAAGAAGTAGTAGTAGTTATTTACGTAGCGTATTCGGAAACTAAGTACCGTTTCATTCTAGCGCCGTCGCAGCGCTGTGGTAGGCGTCCCGCGCATGCGCACTAGTCTTTCTTGTTCACTGACTTTCTATTGTCGCCATTTTGGTTGCTCTATGTTGTGTTTTCAGTTTGCTGTGCACATTCAAAATGTTTAAGACAATTAGTTCTCCCGCTGACTGTGAGATTCGTGCCGTGATTAAATTTTTGAACGCGAGGAATGTTAAACCGGCCGAAATTTATCGTCAAGTGACAGAAGTTTACGGTGAATACGCGATAAGTGATGGAATGGTGAGAAAGTGGGTAAGAATGTTTAATGCAGGTCGAACAAATGTCCACGCCGAGGCTCGAAGTGGTCGGCCTTCTGTTGTCACCGATGATTTGATAAGGAAAGTTGATGAAGCAATTCATGAGAACAGACGTTTCACAATGACAACTCTTTCAGAGGCATTTCCACAAATTTCACGCACTGTTTTGTTCGAAATTGTGTCTGACCGCTCGAATTGTCGCAAACTGTATTTCCGATGGGTTCCAAAAATGCTCACTGATGTTCACAAAACAAAGCGACTTGTAGTGCCTGACATTTCACGCGGTACAGTGATGAGGGAGAAAACTTTTTAAACCAAATTGCGACAGGTGATGAAACTTGGGTGTGTCATTTCACACCAGAATCGAAACAACAATCGATGGAGTGGAGACACACTCATTCTCCGAAAAAACAAAAGTTCAAAGTGACAAAGTCATCACAAAAAATGTGCACTGTCTTCTGGGATAGGAAAGGCGTTTAGCTTACTGAATTTCTTCCCAGAGGTGAAACCATTAATGCGGCACGATATTGTGAGACTTATGCACGGAACAGACGTTATGCATGCTCGCATGCTCACGGACAGGGCGAAATGTGCTTTCTCTTCAAAGCCTAACAATGATGGGCCGGCTATTACATTTGGCTATTATTCACCAATTTGTGTAGATTTTCGTTGGTAATTTTTTGTTCGTGTTGTGTCTAGCGGTCTGGGATGAATGTTCCTAAAACGTACTCGCTGTACCTCCTGCTGTGATAGTTGCTTCGCTGCTATTGGTTAGAAGAATATAGACGTAACATAGAGCTTTGACGTCATTTGTTTTGTCACGTGGTAAAGCTTCTCGAGCCCTTGTAATAAAAAAACGTTTATGGCGTATGTTTTAATCCTTTAAAAAATCAGTTAAGAAGTCAGAGATGATTTTATGTACAACTGATTTAATTCATATGTTAATATATATTTTTACTTTATGCAATACACACTTGAGAAATACCGGATCATTACAAAGGAAGGAAAATGGGTTATTTGCCTGAAAGGGTTATATCCATATTCTATTTTGCTAATAGAATGTAGGAAAACAATATTTAACACAGTTTATTAATGTTTTATCGTGATACAACTAACATATTTAAGAACAAGGATTACAAAGCACTTACAATTATACACCTAAATTTATCTCACTTTTCACCCTGAGATGGAATCCCAGAAAAAAAAAAATTGTTAAATGATGGACTAGAATCAAAGTAGTGATATATAGAAAGCACATGTGGGATCTTTTCCTTTATTGGAATAACATTTGCTAGTCAATTTACAGCAAAATATATATGCCTACATTGCCTACTGTCCATTAAATTAAATATAACCTTTCAATCGCTCTTAATATTATTCTTGTTTTAAAAGTAATTGTTGTCAGTTAATTCTATCAGTAACCTTTAGTATGCATAAGGTAGTAAGAAATATGCTTTTTAGACATATAAACATTGCTTTTTTTCCACCGTTATTCTCCCTATAAATCTTTTTAATAAAAAAAAATCAGAAAATTGCAAAATTTTGGCACGAGAATCCTAAAATTAGAAAGGAAAGAGAGTAATGCTTTTATGTTGTATGCATGCAGAAAGATACGTCGCCAAAGATTTTACCAGAGACAACAGAAACTGCAGTATATGGTCCACCCCAATGCTGTAGTACTGAAATTCCCATAGGAGGGATCATAATCTGCAACCACACTGGTGAAAATATCTGGAGAAGTGCTGTCTGGGAGAATGCTATGTGTATACTTGGGTTGCCAAATAAATTATTTTTAGTGACATGTGTAGCCACATAAATGTTTCTTCGCAACATGGTTTAGACCATCAATACTTTTTCACAGCATTCTGGTGAGGTCCAGAAAATTAGAAAGTACCAAAATTCATCATTTTAGAATTATTTTGAGTAAGTTATACACTTTGTGAACTGTGATCTCAAACCAATTTCCTTTCTTCCACATAATGATTTTATTTGCATATATCAGAACTTTACTATTGCAATATGCTTTTGGAATGATTATTATTTCATTCTATGAGATTTTTACTATCCCATGACATAGCAGACTGAAACTAGAAAAAAAACGAACAGTTTTCTGTTTTCATTATTTTTAGCAAATCAAAAAGACCCATATTTATAAAATGAGAACATGGCTAACAAAAATGAAATATAACATTACATACACAATTATCAGAAGTCAGTTATACATGACTGTTACAGTTAAATAGTACTATTTATTGGCATTTTACCACCAAAGAAAACACACAGACATCATTGCTGGGAAATAGCTACCTCTAAAAATCTGAGATGTAATAAATAATCAATAGGTACACTGCTCAAAAAAAAAAAAAAAAAAAAAAAAAAAAAAATGGGACAGTGCTATATCTCCCGTTCTACTGGGCCGATTGACAAAATTCAAATTGCGTTTTTCATGTCTCGAAAGTGCGACTTAGGATATATATTAGATTTATATATAGCACTATTCTAATATAGGTATTTTGACACAAAATCGGACTTTTTCTGAAATAATATACCAATTTTTTTCCATATTTCGTTTCTACGTCTCAAATTATGCCAGAATACCAAGTTTCGTAAAAATCGTAGAGTAGTTTTTAAAAATTTAGCTCTCAAAATTTTAGCTCCTCAATGTTATTGAATTTGGCAAATATTTATTAATATCTCTTTTTTTTATTAAACTTTTTTGATTTTTTCTCTCACATTCGAAATTTAGGTTCATTCCAAATAAAATTTATCCATTTTTTGTGTTTTTATTTTTTAAATTTCTATTTTAAATAATTTTTATAAATCTTTCGAAACAATTTTGAATTATAACCTATAACATTTTACCATCATCTTAAAGTAGGTGTATTTTTAAGCATATATGCAAAAAAATTAGACTTTTTTATCAAAATTTTCTAAGATATATAACGAATTTACATATTTTCGAGTTTTGAAATTTGGCATCTTTTTTTGAGCGATAATAACGCCAAATGTGGTCTATGGATTTTTGTTACAGTGAATTGCCACAGCTATTTTTAACCTTAAATTTCAAGTAAGATTTTACGGAGAATTAATTATATGACATTTTTTTCCTCAATGAAGCGTAATAAATATTTATTAATACTATATAAAAAGCTATTTTTTTAAAATTATAGATGATATTATTCAAATTTTTAACTTTTTTTTTAATTTCTCTCTATCTTCCTTTTTTTAAAAAAATAAAAGTAATAAGAGTAAATTTTTACCTTCGGCGTTTTATCATCTGCTACTTTACTTCGTTTAAATCGAATTGTCTAAAACTGAGAATTTTTCGTTTGATATTTATTTGAATTTTATGACATTAACTGCATAATTTATTTCTAAACAAACTCTTGCTTTTGAAGTGGCTGAAGAGCGGCTGATACTATCATCCACATTTTTAAAGCACAGTATATTTTTATAGAAACATAATATTTAGAATAATCATTTTTATAAAAGTCAAATTATGATATAAACATACAGCCCTCTAGAGACTGAATTAATGGAAGTTCAATGGTTATGTAGAAATGATCTGCAGCTACTTAATGGCTGGATAAGTCAGCAGATTCTGGTGGACAAGTAAGAATAATTCTATAAAACGCCACCCAACATTCAGGATTCAATTAACAACGAGAATACGATGTTATTAAATGAATTTAAGAAATTTTAAACGTAAAAACCAACTCATTTTTATCCTAAATGTATTTTTTGTGCGTAGCGTATTTTCATTATATCCTTAAAATTCTAATTTAGAATGTAATTGTCAAGAACAGAATCCTAATCATCAGTAATATAATAAGTATTATTACGGTTATTAATAAATCCTTCTTATAAAGTAATTGCAAATATATCAAAAAACTTTCTGTCTGAATGCAAATATTTTTCTATGCAAATATTTTAAATTTTATATTAATCAAGATTGCACATGATATTATTTAATTGCACTTCAGTTCTTACCGTCAGTTCCAGTAGAAGTTACAAATCAATTATATTTAATTAAGGATTGGATTGGATTATTTAATTATGGCAAAACACACGAGGGC